GCCTGATCGGTGTACTATTCTACTAGTCAGGATTGCGAGATATAAATGGAGAAGATACTCTGAGAAGAAAAGTCTGAGTTGTGAGATATAAACTGGCAATTGGAGATAAAAAAATTAATCAGAATATATGCGATAAAACGTTGCAATTACCTTTATTTTTATTTTATTTCTATTTTTTTAATCACATGGCAGAAAAGTCAGAATTGTGCGATGTAAACTCAGAATTGCGAGATATCTCAGTTATGACTTTTTTTTCCCTCAAAATTGCAAGTTTATATCACATTTCTGTGAGAAAAAAAAAGGCAGTGAGACAAAAAGTCACGAATTGTGATACAAAAGTCACAATTACTTTTTCTTTCTTTCTTTATTCAGTGGCTAGTTTCGTAACTATTTTGAATAAGAAAGAAATGCTGATTGTATACTGAGAATTTACTGTACACTCTATTCCAAAGAAAGGAAGGAAGGCAAATATCAGTCAATAAAACATTATCTTTAATATTAGGCATTATTAATGAATTACACGTCACAGCGGTTAAGTGAGTAGGAAAAAAAAAAAGTGTGTATTTACATCTAAAATCCACACCACATTTATTCATGCTAGCACAATATATACAGAAAAAATACTTTGAGAATACTTGTACAAAGGTTTTCGTAGTTCTGCATGGTAAAACAAAACGCTCTTCAGATTTCAATGCAAAATACACAAAATAACTGTAGTGATTAGGCCACTGAAAGATTTTTTTTTTCTTTTTAATGTTCAGTTTAGTTTTAAAAACACATTTACATCAGAAAGTACAATGCAGACAATTAATCTCAGTCTATACATGATTTGTCCCTCTTGACCATATAAATACAAAGCTTTTGAAGGAGTATATACACGAAATAAAGCCAAACATGGTGTGATACGAACTGTAATGCAGACCAGAGTGTTCAGTATCCCTCTTTACTCTGTTTTCATATGTACAGAGACAACAAAAAAAAAGTTCTCCCTTTGCTCACCCATTTCATCCTCTTAGATTACCAGAAATGGTCATTTCCAATATATGACGATCAATCCTTTCAGCAAAATACAGGAAATTAAACCCAATATTTAATGAGCAATTCACACTTATCGGTGTATACTGTACATGAACAGAAGTATTGATGTGGTATTGAATTATAGATGCTGATCAGGGCAACCTCATCATGTAAAAAATAAAATGTCACCCTCAATCTGAAACTCTGAATTCAAAGCTGTCGGGTTGCCTCCACGGAGATATCAAACATGTAAAATATGTACACTATGTACAATATGTTATTTACATGGTTGCTTGTGCCAAATGAGTAACTTTCATTTAATGAATTGTGATTATAATACGTTTTGAACTTTTTTTTTTCCTTGGAAATGCAAGCAAAATTATGATGGTGAATGAATACAACACTCTAAAAAATGCTGGGTTGTTTCAACCCAACTTTGGGTCAAATATGGACTAACCCAATTTTGGGTTAAAAATTTAATGTAAAAATTTAACCCAACGGTTGGGTTAGTCAATATTTGACCCAAAGTTGGGTTGAAACAACCCAGCATTTTTTAGAGTGAAGACACACAGTATCCATCAGTCTGTATTTACATGCAAAATGTCTAGAAAGCCATTATAAGAAATGCTCAAAACAATAAATATCAATGCTTTTTAGTTTATCAGTGCTAATATTCACAGAATGGGCCGTCACATATACACTCTCTTATAACACTCGATCTTTGCATAGATTCCAGTTCCTTCCCTGATCACTCAGTATAAAAAATGGTTTATATTGTCTCAATTAACCTTACAATATTAAGGTTAATATAAATAATTATTAATAACTCATCAATTAAACCATTTCTATATGTCTATGGAGACATAAGACACTTACTTCATCATTATATGATTATAATTAAGTAAAAAAAAAAAAAATAATAATAATCTACAAATGCATACCAGTTACCTAAGTTTTACTTCAGGAGGAAGTGCATACAAATGAATAGACTGAGTTACAGTTGCAGTCTGTCTGACTAGGAAAACAGACAGGAATATTATTAATGTAATGAATGAGAGATTCCCACATTTAAGAAAGGTCCTCTATCAAAACATTTGCACGTATTTGCTTTCGCTGGCCATAAAAAGGCCTTTAGTGATGAACTATCAGCAGGGACGGATTATGACACAGCGGTGCCCTGGGCACAGACCGATTAAAGGCCCCCCTCGGTTGAAATTTTGTTCCTTTTTTATATGAAATTTTCCCAAACTTGTTAACTATATCATAAAATATCACAATTCTCAAATATAAGTAAATGCATTTTGCACCTTTATAGATCATGTTAGTTTATCTATAATGGGCTGTGGGAAAAGTAGCCTAATATTAGTGTAATCTATTAACTAGCCTATGCATAAAACCTGTCTTTTAACTTGTAGATATGTTTACTAATTACTAACTTATTACTAATTATAACACTTTCATTGTACATAAAGAGAGCAAAGAATATTTGCATTATCAAAGAATATTAACTTCATTCTAGACAGAGTTCAAGCACTCTCAACAACTCCCATTATAATCACTGAAGCTGTTTATACTGTGAAATGAATATCTTATCATCGTACACACATCTGCGCTTTGTTTATGATGAGAGAATTCGCCAGAGAGCAGCATTCAGTCAGCAAGCACGCGCACTGAACGAAACACAGGCTTTTCAGCGATGACTCATTTGAATGCCTCTGATTGGCTATTGCGTTCATAAGCTCAACAGAATCCTGTGCGATTGGTTATAATGCTCAGCACTGTAAAAACGCGTCTGGCTCAACGCAAGCCAAAGCACGAACGCAGATTTGAATTTGGCAGCTGATTCTGTGCCGCACTGAACGTTCTCAATCGTATCAAATATAAAAAAAATATTATTCAGCCATTTTTGGTCTTTTGGAAGCTGCATTCAAAATCCACTTTGCTAAAAATCCTGAAGGGGCACGGTTGAAATCGCATTCCTGGAGGAGCATTATTTCGGCTGGGCCCCCCTCTGGTCTAGTGCCCTGGGCACGTGCCTGGTATTCCCGTGCGTTAATCCGTCCCTGACTATCAGTCATAGTCTTTAAGATAACATGTATTTCTCTCTGTACATATCCTGCCATAAACAGTACAGTCTTCATATTACAAAAGCACACAGAAACGCCTTAGGTTTGCCTAAAACTTGCCTTTTGCTTTTAATATTCTTCAAGTACATTTCATACTACGAGCAGCCTTAAGTATATAGTTTTGTGTTTGTATCCCAGAACTTTTAATAAATAAAAATTAATTTTCAAACCCATAACATATTTTCTTAATTAAGTGATATAAAACCACATTAAACCACATCATATATTTGTGTAGGGCTTAACAGTGCAAAACAAACAAAGAAAAAAAAATGTTTAGATTAGATTAGATAATAAAATTAACGGGACAGTACCCATAATAGTAATAATAATAATAATAATAATAATAAAAACAGTTAATTTTAAATAATTAAATAAAATATATGCCTATTTTTAAAAAAATCCAGCAACAAGTATTTGTCTATCCAATGCAGTCACAACCAATCATATATATATATATATATATATATATATATATATATATATT